ATTATAATCGCTGTGATTATAGCGTGTGTTACAGAAGTTGTTAAGTTTAAAGTGACGAGAAATGTACTGATTATGTAAGTACTGTGTACTAAAAGTTTGTATCGAGGAAGAATAAACTGTTTTAATCAAGAAAGGACTTGTATCGCTGAAGATCCTCGGGGAGAATTTCTACCGGAAACAAACAAACGAGCGAATACGCAACATGAGATTGAAATACTGTTGTTATACACTCTTCTGATTCTTGGAAAATCATTAAAGGGACTAAATAAAGAATGTAGTGTTAAAGATATAATAAGCCTAATATTATATCTTATGACAAGTATAATTAAGGTGAAATTTCTGTATAAATGCAGCCAATTTGTGAATTTAGGCCTGTCGGTGAATGTTGATTACGCTAGTTGTGGAACTTGAAGCTGAAAAATATACCAAAATAACTCTCTCAACCATTACAATAATAAACTATATAATATTGTAATATTGTAATCGAGCAATATTGTAACTTTCCGGTTGTAAGAATAATTTTCAATACATTTTACAAATTAGATGATTCAATAACATATCAACTCATTGTTGAACACCGTCTCGACACTCTATCAGATATTTCGGGTCTTACATTGCAGAATAGTAGATAAAATCTAGTCCGATTAGAATATCATAGCCATTGTGTTTACTTCTGTTGAACAAACATTTAAATTTAAATGCAAGAAAAGCCACAAATGACTTATGAAAAAACACGATAAAAACACTAGCCTAAGGTTAATTCAGGAAGTGTAATAAGTCCATCAGTATCGTGTATTAGAATGATTACGTAATTAATGATTCTGTTCTTTATTAACAAAACTCTAAAACGATTATAAGCGAGAAACTTTTTTTTTGCACGACTAACAAAGACTCTTATTATGTCTTACCCAGATAAATACGTGGTACAATTAATCAGTATTGCACAGGATATTTAGTCTGAAAGAACTTACATTTAACAACCATTATTTTGATACTTTATCAAACTTAAACATTCCTACCACATGTAAGGTTCATGACTGCAGGAACATCATTAATTTTATTTTTAAATGTGATGTCAATAATGACTTGCTCTAACTGTTGTTTCAAGCAGGTTTTTTGCGTAACATTGAGCTCAGTAGATCTATTTTTTTTAACCGTAACAAACCTAAATGTCATCTGCAAATTTCATTGCATTATCTAATATTACGTTCATTATCACAACCTGTGTTTTCACGCGCATGTTATTGCACAGAATATTTGTTGCAATTTCATACAAGCCAAATTTGTTAAAGAAGGATTTGTTTGTTTTCTTGGCTATTTGCTCTATCTATCCCAAATTTGGAACTGACCGGTTAGAGAGAAGAAAACCAGACAACAACACACATTGCCAACTCACGGGCTACTCTAATCGAACAGTAGGACTTGATCGCCACTCTTATAACGCATTGAAAGCCACAATACGGGACCCGAAGCAGTAATTATTGTATTCACATCTGACACGCTAATCACTGGGCCCATCTGGCCTGCTAAACAAGGTAAAAGCAATAACGACAACATTATTCAAAACCGATGTGGGATAAAGCAGAGATCATTTACCTTGGTATCATAGATACCAAATATATAGGTTTGTTGTTGTTATTATTAAGCACAAAGCTACACAAAGAGCCATCTGTGTTCTGCCGAGCACGGGTATCAAAACCCGGTTTCTAGCAGTATAAGTCCGCAGACATCCAACTGTGTCACTTGGGGACGTTTGTTGTATTCAGATTACCATTAGCACTAACCAGTTTAAAGTTTGGGATCTTCATACTGGTTAGATTTAGTTGTACAAAACTGGCTGTACAGGTAGGTTAATAAATAATTACCTCTTACAAGTTTCAATATTTTCTTTGTCCTCAATTCCTTAGACGAGATTTAAGAGTCCAAGAATACAACAAAAGAAATCTTTGTGCACATGCGTGTGTTTGCAATTAGTTACATATAGATTTAATTCGAATTAAGAATTTCACTTAAAAAAAAAGAACATTTGAAGCGTTAATCCTTTTTTTTACAAGAAGTACATTTATTATACGTATAGTGACATTTAAAGCATTCACAAACTACAGCCTCGAGTGGTAAATATATATTTAAAAATCAGATAATTCTTAAAATCGAGTTTAATTATTAAACTATCTAATTATTAATTATATAATTACTAAAATAAAAAAATAAAAGTACATAAAGTACTTAAAATATATTATAATATATATATAGTTAAATATAGGGATATTTATGGATGTTTCCAAATATATATTAGTGTAAAACGAGAGCGAATGTTCAGTTTCACATGTTGACTGACAATGATATAACACCGATAGAGGTATTTTGAAATAAAGTGCTTGTTAGCAATAAGCAGTATTATTAAAATATATTAGTACACCAAGGTCATAAATCTACTTTACCTGATACGGCAATATTAGTTACCATTTGGTGTTTTTTTTAATGATTTTTTATTATTCTGCGGAAAACGTCACTTTTACTAAAATCAGTTTCTGTTCAATCCATAACTGTTAGTCATACCAAGTTGAAGTCGGCATCATCACTTCGACATTTCAATATGATTAGCAACAAAATCAATGTTTGAATTTTAGGCCTGCTAGTGATGCTAATACTGGCATAACTTAGGAAAGACTTAGGACTAATGTTCATTAGTCTTTACAATCCTATAGATGTAGATGCGATAACTTTTTATTCCCTCAATAATAAGGGAATAAAGTTATTGGAGTATCTTATCTGTTTAAAAAAGTCAACATAACAGTTTCCAGATTAAAATAACATAAGTTGCTTCACTGTCCCGTTCATTTAAACTTTACATTAATAACGTTATCAACAAATAACTTTAAAGGAAATATCATAAACCAAGTCACCATTTTGTATAAAAGGGCTAAGATGTTAGAATCTCTGTTTATGGCAAACTTACTAATGATATCTCTCACCACCCCTAATTTTGAACTACTGTTCAGAGGTAAAGCTACCATGCTAAGGATTGACTGTCACTCTTATAACACAACATAAAGTGTGGGAATATTTTGTGGTATTTCATGGATTCGAACCCAGCTCACCAACTCAGAGTTTTACCACAATTCCAATTCGCGCACCTTGTATATAAATAAAAAAGAAATAACTCAAAATAGTACCCTATGTGACCTAAGAAACACACACATATGTATATACAGCGTAGCAGTACAATACTATAGTCTACGTGAAACAGATCCATAATACCTAGATTAGAACAGTAAAGCTCTCACAATACAATAACAGCTTAATCTTTAATTTTCAATAAAAACTTTTGGCACCTATTTAAGAAATCTTACTCATAACCTTAATTGAGTCATATACTGCATTAAATAACTTAAACAGGAGGTTTATCAGCAGCTTTTGATAAAAGCAAGCTACATTTATAGATGAGCACTAAAAAACTAACCCAATACTTAAGATACCTAACGGGGGGGGGGGGGACACGTTCCACCTCACTTTGAGTTATTTGTTTTAACAAGAATACTTCTCGCCTTTCTCTGTCTGCCTGTTCTTCCTTACTCTTGCCCCATACTTTTAAACACAGGTAGGTGCCCATTATTATTATACTACGTTGATTCGTCACTTGGGTACCCTCACCTTTAAAGATATGTTCGGCCGTACTTCAAATAATATATCATGGGGTTCAGCCACCTTAGGAGATTAAGGTTGGTCCTAAATTCATAGTTGTTGTTTGTTTGTTTTTTTCGAAATTTTTGTATATATTGAGCATGCAAATTTAATATAGAAAGTCGGTAAAAGGAGCTACTAAATTTCTCTTGCTTTAGTTACTCACAGAAGTAGGTAATTCATTTAGGGTATCACATGTGGGAAATGTTGTTGTAATATAGTGTATAGAGAGCGACAGTGATCTTTTTAATTGGCAAGGCAGGTGATGCCCAGGAGACATAACATCCTTTGTTGTGTAATGAGAATGGTTGTCAGTGACGTGAGTGGCACCTGTGTCCTGATAAGAATGACATTGTTATTATTCCTATAAAAATATTATTACTGCAAAGACAGATTCACTTTAAGGACATACTCCAGTAAGGGTGCCAAAATACATTTGCCCTTAAAAGCTTTGATTGTTGTTTGTGATTGTTGGAAATAAAGATAGTTTCACTGTAGGACACATTATATCCAGTTTTGTCTTTGTTTTAGATTCATTCGAATACTGACAAATAAGTCTTCTCAGGCTCAAAGATGGAATTTACACAATTTTATTTCTATAGGTTCTAATTTTGTTTTTGGATTTGAAAAAAGGAAAAATGTCAAATTTCTAAATTCCTCTAGGTATATCTAATATTTGATTTGCTTGTATTTCATAAGAACCTCTTTTCTCCGAATTGCCCCCCAGTGGCACAGCGGTATGTCTTCGGACTTACAACGCTAAAAACCGGGTTTCGATACCCGTGGTGGGCAGAGCACAGATAGCCCATTGTGTAGCTTTGTGCTTAATTTCAAACAAACAAAATCCTCCGAATTATAAGAACTCTTACAGTCATATTTTATTAAACAAAATTGTTGCATATTAATATACTATGTAGCCTACTTGCTGATAGACTTCTTTCAAGGATAGATTATATACATATTTTATATATAATTTCAAAAGTTTTTGCTACTTATAGCTAATACTTTCTGTATATATTTTTTTCTAAAACTAATGGTTCAAAATTGGAATTTCTCCTACGTTATTTTTTTTTATGAAATGATTTAAAAAGATTTTTAACACAGATTTCATACAGATAAAGTTACACTACAGTTTAGAGCGAAAACATTTTATAAGATTAATAAAAATCTATTTTAAAATTACCAGCATTATGACTAATTCCAAAAGTATTCAGAAAAGTTTGTAAAATAAAAAGATAATATTACTTAAAATTATTATTCAGCAAATTATCATACACCGAATTAATTAAAATGAAAAAATAGAAAAAATTAAACAAAACAAAATTTCGGTTAGGTGGCGTTTCTAAGTGGAAGAGAATTAAGCAAATTACTCAGTTTAAAAAAGTTATACCAGAGCATGGGCTGTAAGAACGAAAAAAGTGATGTATATATAGCATGTAGTTATAAAGGTTTAATTAGGAACCTATTTTACTGGTCTTATCAAAGTATTAACAAGTATATGAATAGCAGAGTAAATCATGTTGTAGCTTAGAAGTTATAGCTGAACCAATGTGGTATTCTCAGGCTTACTGATTAACGTACCAGTAATTGGATAGGAGATGCAAAATAACTGGAAATTCGCCAAAAAATGTTTTACGTAGCAAAATATGAATTGTCTAAATCAAAATAATAATTACGTTTTAAATAAATGTTTGCGATATCATTGTAGACTTGGGTAGAAAATTCTA